GGGCCGGCAGGAGGGCACGCCCCCTGGCCCCGGCCCCGCCCCCGGCCCCGCCCCGGCCGCTGCCCGCGCACCTCAACGTGCGCCTCGGTGAGCAGCTCGATGATGCGGGCGTGCGGCGTGGCCACCACGCTGTGCCCGTTGATCTCGATGATGCGGTGCCCCACGCGCACGCCCCCGCGCTCGGCGATGCCGCCCCGGAGGAGACTGCAGATCTGGAGGGGGCGGGGAGGGGGCCCGTGCTGCTCAGGGGGGGGGCCGCCGGTCTCCCCCCCACCCCCCTCCCACCCTGTCCCGGGGCCGGGGTCTCACGATGCCGTCCTCCACGCAGAAGCCCAGCTGTTCGCGGGCGTGGGGCCGGCGGATGATGGCCGTGGTGACCGGCGGGCAGTGGATGATGCTGAGGTTCACCAGCGTCTGCGACTTCACCTCCTGTGCGCGACAGGGGCTGTGGGCTTAGCGAGGCCCCCAGGGCGCTGCCGGACCTCGCGGCACGCTGCAGCTCCCTCTGGGCCTCAGTTTACCCACTCGTAAAATGGAGCTTTGGAGTCAGGGCCCTAGATTCTAGAAGGCTCCTCGAGAAGCAGTTAAGAACACACGACTCAAGCCCGGCGGCCTCGGGTCGGAGCTGTGTGACCTCTCCCCTCCCTTCCCGCGGCCTCCGTTTCCTCACGGGAAGCAAGCTTCTAGCCAGGTCGGCCGTGCTCACTCCTTAACCTGCTGCGTGGGCCGTGTCGGACCCCGCCCTCCTGACCTGGCCAGGTCCCTCCCCATGTTCGGGCCTCAGTTTCCCCATCCAACAAAAGGGTCCAGACTCAAGAACACGCTTGCTGCCTCGCGGCGGAGAGGGAGGCCCCCGGCTCTGTAGCTGGGCTGCTGGTGCTCCCATCCTGCCTTCACCCCATCATGGTCACCCGGACCAACAACATCCCCTCTCCAAGACTCAGTTTCCCAGAGCACGGGGCATTTGGGGCGGGGGGGGGGGGGACTTAATGCTCCATGCCCCTCTGGACTGGCCCAGGGAAAGCACCCTGCCACCCTGAGAGGACTCACGCGGACGGCGGCCTGGCAGGCGGCCAGGGGCAGCCCCACCAGGCTGGTCCCGTTGATGGCAGTAAGGCGGTCCCCGATGCTGAGGGCCCCCGAGCGCTCGGCAGGGCCCCCGTGCAGCAGGTTGGCGATGACGGCCGTGGGCAGCAGGGAGCCCCAGCCGGACTCCACCAGGGCCACGCCCAGGCCCTCGCCCCGACGCTTCTCGATGCACACCTGGGGGGGGGGGCCCCCGGGGGGGGGGGGGCTGGGGGGCGGCTCTGAGGGGGGCTGGCAGGGGCCCCCCGGCCCGCACGCTCACCTCCCTGCAGTTCTCGCTGTTGGAGAAGTGGTCGAGGTCCCCGTTGTGGAGGTGGCCGGGGCCCGTGGCCCCCAGGCTCTGCTGGGCGCCCACCTGGCTGGGGTCGATGCCGCTCTCGCGGAGGAACTGCCTGTAGGCCACGCTGAAGGCCTGGCCGATGGCCTGAGCAATGAGCTGGGCCTGCGTGGCGACGGGCAGCGGCTCTCGGGGGGTGTCCCGCCCCCCTCCTTCAGGTCTCCCAGACCCTCGGGCGTCCTCGGGGCTGAGCCCTCCCGGCCCCGCCAGAGACAGGGTTCCTGGGACACAGCCCCGTGCACTGTGGCCACGGGGACTGTGGAGAGCAGCCGCTGTCTTGGGGAATCTGTCGGGGGAGGGGAGGGACACCGGCCCAGAGGGGGGAAGGCTGGGGGGTGGGCGGCCAGTCTCTGAGGCTTATGGCAAAGACCAGAGGCCCAGGGGGTGGTGGGGGAGACAGCCGACAGCGCTGAGGACCGAGGGGAGGACGCTGCAGGGACGGCGTGACAAGGGGTCTCTGGAAGAGCGCAGGGCGGGCCCGAGTCCCCCTCTCCCCCCCCCCCCCCCCCCCCGGATGCCCGGAGCCGGGCTGCTCACGTCCTCTGAGTGGAAGACGTGACAGATCATCCTGTAGAGCTGGCGGCTGTGTGCCTGGGGCGCCGGCCGCCGGGCCAGCCGCCGCCGGGCCATGAGCACCAGCACGTTGCCGATGTCGGCAATGTAGGAGATGGTCTGCAGGGCGTGGTCCATCATGGCCTCCTGCAGGGGGGCGGGGGGGGGGGGAGACCAGGCCTGGGCGGACTGTGCAGACCCTCAGGGGGGCGGGGGCGCCCCCAGGCCGGAGGCCGGCCCGGCCCTGTACCTGGGAGTCAGCCGTCAGAACCTTGACCCTCTTGGTGGAGACAAAGAGGTCCACCTCCGTCATGGGCTGGGTCTCCCCCTCGGGGGCCTGTGGGGGGGGGTGGGTGGGAAGTGGAGGCCCACGAAGACCCAGCCTCTGCCCGCCCCACCCCCGCCAGGCTCCAGGGGCCTCGAGGACCGGCCTGCGGCTCCCCCCTGCCCCCCCACCTCCCGCCGGCCCTGGGGAGCCCCACCTGCCCGGCCCTGGCTTCACCTTGACGCGGTCCATCGCCTCCCGGGCCTGGGCCATGCGTGTGCTGGGGGGCGGGTTCCGCTCGGACACCAGCTGGGTGGAGCCCAAGTATTTGGCCCCAAATATGACACCGTCTAGGAGGTCTTCATGGTCACAGGGACCAGGGACTGAAGGCGACAGCGGAGGAGGGTCAGCCCAAGAGCCCCGCCGGCCGTGTCCAGCCCCACACGCTCCGCCCAGGGTCCCGGCTCCCATGGTGGTCTGGAAGCACCGACTTCTACACCCCAGCCTAGCACTTGAGCCACGCGGGTCTGCCCGCCGTTCCAGAACCATCCCAGCAGCAGGAGGGACAAGCAGCTTGGCCTTAACAGATTTAGAGCCCTCTCGTCAGTCTCGAACCAGCTGACTCTGTCCACGGCTCAAGGACTCTGGGCCAGATGACCCAGTTTCTGGACCCCTGAGGGTCTAGAACCAGGGTCAGAGCCCCCCAGAAAAAAAAAAAAAAAAGCTCACGGCGGACACCTCCACCCTGTGTTTCTAGAATTCTGTCATCAGGCTACAACCAGGCAGTCCCACTTCTAAAACCAGCAATGTCCTAGGAAGTCAACGTCACTCGGTGGTTCTGGAATCCCCCGAATCCATCTAGAGCCAGTGAGCTTTGACCACCGTTCCAGATTTCTCCCTTGCCAGCCCAGAACTGCAGACGACTCTGTTTCATACTCAGAGAACTGCCCAATTAGAGCAGAAAGAGACCCCTCGTCACATTTCTAAAACTCACACCGTCCAGAACCCCAGCTGGCTCCCCTCTGTGACTCCAGAACTCTCCGACAGTCTCCGACCACAGAATTCTGGGGGGGGGGGGGGGGCGGCCAGAAATGGGCACCACTCCAGAACCACATCTCCCCACTCCATGATTCTGTAACTTCTTCATCATGACGGCATCGGGTCATGCTTCTAACGGTTCTAGAACATCCTCACATAGTTGCGACACTTCAGTTGTACCCGGTGGTTCTAAGAATTTTCAGAGCAGCCCAGCAACAAACAACTCTGCTCAAAGTTCTAGAATTCCACCAACCCAGCCCAGAAACACGCAGAACGTTCCCCTCCTGGTTCTGTAATTCCCTGAGCAGTCTAGAACCAGACCAGACAGCTCGGTCAGTTCTAAAGTGTCCTAACCGGGAGCCATTGCTTTGTTTGTTCCAGGTCTGGAAGACCCTAAGCATTCTGGAACAGCAGACAGCTCTACTCTGAGCTTCTAGAACCGCACCATCCAATATGCTAACAGCCAGGCACATGTGGGTGTCGTGCCCCTGAAATATGCTGTGACGTGTAAAACGCACACAGAATTTTGAAAATTTAGTAGGAAAAAAACGTAAAAACAATTGTAGATACCGGTTGGACGTTGAAACGACACTCAAATACGTTTGAGTTAGTTAAAATGGTATGAATTTTGGAGTCCCCGGCGGGGGGGGGGGCGCTCACTGGGTTAAGCATCTGATTCTTCGTCTTGACTCAGGTCATGATCTCACGGATCGTGGGATCGAGCCCCGTGTCAGGCTCTGTGCTGACGTAGTGGAGGCTGCTTGTGATTCCCTCTCTCTCCGTCTCTCAAAATAAATAAATAATTCTATATATTTTTAACATTTATTTTTGATAGAGAGGGGGAGAGAGAGAGAGAGAGAGAGAGAGTGCGAGCAGGGGAGGGGCAGAGAGAGAGGGAGACACAGAATCCAAAGCAGGCTCCAGGCTCTGAGCCGTCAGGACAGAGCCAGACGCGGGGCTCGAACTCTCAGACCGCGAGATCAGGACCTGAGCTGAAGTTGGACGCTCAGCCCACTAGGCCGCCCAGGTGCCCCAATAAATAAATATTTTTTAAAAATTAAAAAAATGTTACCAGTTTTACTTATTTTTTCTGTAAAGCAGAGAACTAGGAAATCGAAAGTCACTCGTGGCTCACGTTATGATTCTATTGTATAGCACAACTCTAGAACTTTCTGAGTACTCTAGAATCAGATGGCCCTACCCACAGTGGCAAAACACCCTGCTTTGGTCTGGAGCGGCAGATAAGCTCTTTTCCACCCATGATTATGAAACCCCCCAGTCTAGATAGCTCTGTTCATTCCAGAACACTCTCACCGGCCCAGGTTCTCTTAATCTAGAACCACAGGCAAAGTGCCAAAATCTGGAACTACCTGGGTGACTCATAGCTCCACCCATGATTCCGGCACCTTGTAACCATAGGTCCAAACCAGCTCCCCTTCCCACAACCATAAAACTTTGCTCTTTGACTTATAGCCTCAGGTAGTTTAGGTGGAAGTCCTAGAACATTCTAGATGCCCAGAACCAGTTCTTTCCACGCCTTCGGGGCAGAGATTGACAAACTTCTTATGCAAGGGGACAAACAGTAAATATGTCTGTCTTTGTGGGCCAGACGGTCTCTGTTGCAACTACTCAACCCCTGGCCGTTGTAACATGAAAACCACCATAGACAGTCCGTGAATGAATGGGCCTGGTTGTGTCTCAATAAAACTTTATTTGTGGATGCCGGAATTTGAGTTGCACATCTTTTTTATGCATCAAGAAATATTACTCCGTTTTCTTCCAACCGCTTCAAAACGTAAGAGCCGGGGCGCCTGGGTGGCTCAGTCGGTGAAGCGACCGACTCTTGACTTCGGCTCAGGTCACGATCTCGCGGTTCATGAGATCGAGCCCCATGTGGGGCTCTGTGCTGACAGCGCGGAGCCTGCTTCGGACGCTCTCGCTCCCTCTCTCTCTGCCCCGCCCCTGCTCGTGCGCACTCTCGCTCTCAAAATAAAAACATGAAAAAAAAAATTTTTTTTTTTAACCTAAGAGCTGGTTAGCTCACGAGGCGTGCCAGAAAAGGCGGCGGGTTGGATGTGGTCCGCAGATGGCGATCTGCCAACCCCTGCTCTAGAACCCGGTGCTCCACATGGCAAACCTGCCCTTCCGTCCCAATTCCTTCTAGAACATTCTCACCGGACCGTCTGGAGTCTACTCAACCAACCTCAGAGCCTCTCTAGAAGCAACTCGTCACTGGCCAACTTTGTGCCAATTTGGGAGCCTGAGCTGGGCTATTCTGAAACTGCCCAGTCCCTGCGGCCAGGGTGGACAGGACACTCACCCTCCTGGAGGGCAGGGTATGGCACCAGGGTCTTGGGGCTCTGGAAGAAGACAGAAGAGGGGCAGGACTGAGTCCCCTGGCTTGGCTGCTGGCAGCAGAGGCGGCCCAGGAGGCGGGACAGGCTCTACCTGGACACTGGCAGGGGGCTCTTCGGGAACAACCAGAGGGACTGTCTCCAGCCACGGTTCTGGGGAGCTGCTTGAGCTCCGGCTGCCGGCCTGCTCGGCAGAAGCGCCCTCCGGCCATTCCGGGGGGCCGGCATCCCCGTCTGGGTCCTCAGGGGGCTGCAACAGGCGAGGAGCAGGGTCCGGAGGCTCCTTCGGACAAGACTGGGGAGGAGGACACTCCTGGCAGTGCAGAAGGCTCAGCAGGTCGTCCCGGCCGGCCTCGGCAGACAAGAGCCCATGGGCATCAGCGACGTCCTGGGAGGCCAGGCCGTGGCCGGTGGCAACGTGCAGGGGGCAGGGAGGTCCGTCTGGGGACAAGCTCGCCAGATCACCAGGCAGAGCCTCAAACTGCTGCACCAGTTCCCGAATACTTGGCCCATCAAGTTCCATCTGATTCAGGCTGCCGGGGCCTCCCGGCACCGGGTCCCACTGGCAGTTGGGGGTGACGTCCTGAGGGGGTGAAAGGGCGTCCCTGGGCTCCTCCAAGTCCATAGCTGGAGGGCCTGGGGGAGACTGGGAAGTTGTCAGGGATTCCATGCCTGGGCCAGCATCTGAAAGAGAGATTCAAAGATACGATCTCCTGAGTGCCAGCCAGGTGCCAGGCTCTAGGTGGGGGCCGCTCCTACAGAACACATAACCTAAGCCGCACCATACCCTCCAAGGAAGGGTCCGCTATGATCTCCATTGTATAGATGAGGAAACTGAGGCGCAGAACAGGCCGTTGTAAGACAGTAGCTCCACAGGCTCCAAACCCTGAGGTGGGGGGGGGGTGCCCCCCCCCCCCCCCCCCGGCCCCAACCCCCGGGGCCCCCCCCCCCCCCCCCCGTCACCCCAGGCCTCTCCCAGCCGTGGACCCCGTCACCCCAGACTTAGTTCTTCCACATCTTCCTCCACCGCGACCTTGTAACCCAGGTGGGAGACACACCCTGACTCTACAGACCCGGTTGGTACAGTTCCATGAGACCTCAGTCTAAGCCGAGATCCAAGACCCCAGAAATCAGAGCCTCGTCTCAAAACCTCCAATGTCACGCTCAAGATCAACCCCAGGCTCTGACCCGGACCTCAGAACCCAGCCTGAAGACCTAACTCGAGCCTAAAGCTACAAGTGAAGACCCCGGTCCTCCCGAAGACCCCAGACTCAAGACTTCAGACCCCCTACCTCAGCCGCCGGCTCCAGACCCCGTTCTGCCCCGTCAGGCCACTCACTTCCCACACCGAGGTGGCCTCAGCCCGCACGGCCCCCAGGACCCCACGCCCCGGCAGGACAGCCCTCCAGTGGCCGCGGCGCCGGCAGGTCCGTCCGCGCAGCGCTCCCGGCCCACTGGGCTTGCGCGCGTTTGCCGGGCCTGCTGGGAAATGTAGTTCTCCCGGCGAGCCTCGCGGCGCCGGAGCGCCAGGTGTCGGAACCAAGGGTTCGAGTCCAAATGCTCTGTTTACACAGAGTGAGAGCCCGGGCTGGCCTCTGGGCCTGTTTCCTCAATTACAAAACGGGGTTAGTGATCATTGCCTGCCTTCTGCGGCTGTGGGCATTATCCCAATGGATGAGAAGAAATGGGACTGGAAAATATCAAAGGGAGAGGCGGTCTCTTTCGACTCCAGGGACACCGGAAGCAGCGCCGGGACCCTATTTTACATGGACTTCCGGTTTCGCTCACAGTAGGGAGGAGGGATGGCGCGTCCTGGCATAACTTTCCCTCCCTGAGCTTCGCTTCCGCAATTATAAACTGGGGATAATAATAGCAGCTACCTGCTACTGGTGAGGATTAAACGAGATCGAGCTGGCTACAGATTTAGCAAAAGGGCTGGAGGATAATGAGGCTATTAAGTATTAGCCAATTACTTTTAGGTTTTCAGTAATTGCTCATTGAATAGAATCAGGAATGCATAAGGTGTGATCTTCAAGTGGTAAGTAACCAAAGAAGGGCAATAAGTAAATGAAATCTCTTTGGAAAGTCCCCTCACACGGTAACTGAAGACCCCTGTAAAAGAAGTCACGGGGAATGGCTAACGGTGGAGTACTACATTTCCCAGAAATCTCTAGGAGCCTACAACTCCCAAGCACCCCTTAGCCGCTGTCGTCTCCCGGAAAAGTGCACGTGCGGACAGCCGGCATACGCCATGGCGGCCAGATGCCTCTTCGGGGCTACGCGGACCTGGGCCAGCTGGTCGGCCCGGGAGCTCCCGGTCCCTGTCGAGCCTGGAAGACTCCTTGTACGGGGTTACGCCAAGAGACCGGGTGAGCTGGGTTAAGAGGGACCCAGATGGGCATGGTTTGGGACTTGGGAGTTAATAGTGCGCAGGCGCTTGTGTGGGAGGCGGTGCCTAGAATCCGGGCGCGAGCTTAAAGAGGCAGACGCTGAGCTATCTGCGCAGGCGCGCTCTGAGGGACCTAGGAAGGGATTTGGCTCACTGCGCCGGTGCGGGATGTGTTTTGTTGCGGGGCGGGGGGGGGGGGGGGGGGGGGGCGGGGTGTTAGGAACTTGGGTCCCAACTCTTGGGTCACTGTGTGACCTTGGGCTACCCGCCACCGGAGATTCGAGGAAGCAGAGGGGCCCGTCTACGTATTAGCCACCTAAGCAAAGGCAAAATCAGCTGGGTATAGCCTTGCCTGATCTCCTTTGTTGAAAGGAGGGAACTGACAAAATGTTGGGCGTTAAAGACACATACCAGACCTTTTTCTCTGTGAGATAAACAGAAGGTATCAAAACAGAATTGGAGAGCAATGACCTGGTCAGTCTGCGCGGCAGTGTTAAAAGCAATATCTGTGTCTCACTTAAAGTCATTTTGGGTGCATGGGGCGCCTGGGTGGCTCAGTCGGTTGAGCGTCAGACTTCCGCTCAGGTCACAGTCTCACGGTTCATGGCTTCAAGCCCCGTATCGGACTCACTGCTAAGGATCCCGTGTCCCCTTCTCGCTGCTCCTCCCCTGCTCTCGCTCTCTGTCTCAAAAATAAGCATTAAAAAAGATCATTTTGGGTGCAGCAGGCAAGAGTCTAGGGGACCCGGGGGCCACCCGGAGAAAGGGGTAGAAAAGAAGGCTGGCCTTCTGGGGTGCAGCTGGACAGAAACGACTCTCCCACCCCCCCACCCCCACCCCCCAGTCATGAAGGGGGGCAAAGGCGGCAAAGGTGGTGTGGTCAGCGAGGCCCTGAAGGACCCAGACGTATGTACGGACCCTGTCCGACTCACCAGTCATGCCATGGGCGTCAACATCTACAAGGAGGGCCAGGACGTGGTCCTGAAGCCAGACGAGGAGTACCCTGAGTGGTGAGTGGGCCAGGCTGGAGACCCGGGAGACCAAGTGACGGGGTGAAGGTGGCCTAGCTGATCCCCTGTGCTTTCCAGAGGGCTTCCCTGGGGAGGTGATGCGTGGCTCCAGACCTGAGTGGGTGGAAGGAGCTTTAAAGGTGGATGGAACAGCCAGTGCAAAGGCCCTGGGGCAGGACTGCGCAGCCTCTGTGTGGGGCCCCGTGTGCTGCTGCCTCTACCCAGGGTGCCCGGGGTGGGGGAGCTGTGGGGGTCTCCTGTGCGGCCCTGACCCCTGCCCACACCGCATCAGGCTGTTCCAGATGAACGTGGGTCCCCCCAAGAAGCTGGAGGAGCTGGACCCCGAGACCCGGGAGTACTGGCGGCTGCTGCGGAAACACAACATCTGGCGTCACAACCGATTGAGCAAGAACCGGAAGTTCTAGCAGGGGAAGGCCCTGGGGCCGCCCTGACCCGTCAGGGACCTCACCAGGCCCGGCAGGAGGACCCCGGAGGCACACAGCATCTTCCCCATCCTGCCCCCACAGAAGACTCTATCTGCCTGGAGAAAAGAGTTTTCTGAGAGCAGAGGAGGCCCCCTCACCTGGTGCCTGGTTGGTCCCCAGAGTGAGGCTGGACCAGGGCCCTGGGGGTCGTCGCGGGCCCTGGGTGCTGCTGGGTGCCGTCTGCTGCCGGAGCTGGGAGGGAGACTGGGGCAGGTGGGGGGCGGGGGGCGACTCAGGCCCCGTGGTTCCGTGGCTGCAGCCTCCCCCCGGGCAGTTGCTGTCCATCTTCGGGATTTCTCATGCTGCCCAAGAGGCCCCAGCTCGTCTTCCAGGAGGAGGTGTTTTTAGACCCACCTCTCTTGGTCGCAAGGGACTCAACCCTTCTCTGTGCCACCTGGACCGTAAGCATCTTTGTGGCCTTCGGAAGCCGAAGTGTCTGGGGTGGGCTTGGCCCTGAGGCATGCTGGCCTCGGGGACTTCAGTGTCCAGGTGTGTGGCTCTGTCTCTGGGTCCTTGTAGCCCCGGGGACTAGTTCTCTTGGACGAGTGTGGCCCCAGGACCCCCGGCTGAAGCCCCCTACTTAGTTTAGCCAGCCCAGCCAGAGGGAAGGGACTTGGTTTTCCTTCTTTGGCCAGAGTCATGTGTCGTCTGCATGGGCCGGTCATTTGAAACAGCCCGGGGACCTGGGCCTCACCACCATCCTCCCGTCCACCCGTCTGGTACCCGGGTCTCGGTCTCCCCCACCCCCTCCCTCACCTTCACCCCCCGCAGGAGACGCATCCCGGAATCTTGCATTAAGACCCTGCGAACCTGACCCACAGACCTGAGTGAGAACCCCGGCTCCCGGCAGTCCTAACTCCTGCCCTGCCTGGGACCCAGGGCCGAGGCTGGGGCTTGCAGGGGGTGGAGTGGGGGGATGGGATGAGGGCACCCCCTGGGGGCCGGACCAGGGGCCCTCGGGGCTCCTCTGCTTGTGTGGCTGGGTGGGTGGGGCTGGGGACTAATTCCGTCTAGTCCCAGGAAAATGGGAGTCCTCATCCTCTTAGGAAGACTCTGCCCAAGCGGATTACTTGCCCTCCCTGTGGCCCGCCCAGAGCAGGCGGAGGGTCCCAACCCTCCCGTGGATCCCCTTGGCTCTCGGTGTGAAAACAGAGGTGTAACGGCTACAAGGCCTTGCCACACCTGCCTCCTGTCACCTCCCTGCGGGCACCTCGCTGCTCCAGCCACAGGGGCCTCCCGGTGGTTCCTGCCTCGTGCCAACCCCGGTCCTGCCCCAGAGCCTTTGGGTGTGCTGTTCCCGCTGCCTGGGTGGCTACCCCCCGCAGGTGTTCCCATGGCTCCCTCTTTTACCTCCTCCAATTCCGTGATGTCATGTCTGAGAGGCCCCCCGACCGCCCTGTCGAACTACAGTTGCTGCATGCACTTGACTGCCTCTTCTGGTTTTATTTTCTCCCAGCACTTACAGCCAGCTGGTGTTTTATGAATGATTGTCGGTGTTTATTTAATTGTGCTTGTGTCTGTCTCCCATCAGAGTGGCAACTCCGTCGGGGTAGGGATTTTTGTCTCGTTCTGTTCACCGTCGCGCAGTGGATGGATGGATAGAGGGATCACCGGACGATGGATGGGTGGGGGGTGGGCGGGTGGGCGGCCAGCGGTCAGATGGATGGAAGATGCGTGGGTGGGCTGTTGACCTGGCTGCCACCACGCGAAGAAGACAGGGCCAGGGGGCTCCTGCGTGAGGTGTCACGTGAGCCAAGGTGAGCGGGGCAGCTCGAACCCCACCCAGTGGGTGTGCACTGATGTGAGGACCCGGAAGTGAACCTGTGGTTACTTCGCGGACAGAGCTCAAAGGGAGGGCGGTTACGTGCACCTCCTGCCTTCCAGCCCCTCCCCTCCTGTCGTGACCTGGGCTGCCCCGTCCTATGGGGAAGTCCCGTGTCCTGCGGACGCTGGGGAGGGGGCCTCCGGCCTGCTCACACCCTGTTCCTTGCCCTCCGTGGCCCCCTTGCCAAGGAGTCCAGCCGAGTTCCGGAAGGGTGTCCGTCACGCCCTAGGGAGACATGGCTGGGTTGGACGGGACAAATGTGGGTCTTGCCAGCAGGGCCCATCCCGCCCTCACTGGGCTGGGAGACGTGACCGGGTCTGTGGTCAGTGGGGACAGAAGCCACATTTTGATTTACAGAGGGAGCAGAGCGTCCTCCTGCTTCTGCCTGAGAACCCGCCCTTTGCGCCCAGCCCGGCTACCCCCGCGTCCCACACCGGCGTGGGCTCGGCGTGGCACCTGGGGTGTTGGGCCTGGGCAACGAGCTTGAAGGACGGCTCCACCCCGAGCGGCTGTGTGGCTGTGGAAACTGGCCTCCCTGGGCCGGTTTCCTCCCCCGTAAAGCAGCTGTCATGAGGGGTAAAGCGACGGGCACGCAGGGGACACACAGTGAAAGACGCCAGGGCCATGGGCGGCCACTGCTGCTCTTGGTCACTTCTGAGAGAGCCGGGGCTCCGCCGTGAGGGACGAGGAGCGGGCAGGGGGACTTGGGCGTGTCTTGCGATGCAGCCTTACTGCCTCAGAGCCTCACGGTCCACCCCTTGCCCGGCCCGCAGGCGGGGAGGCCGAGGCCCCCGCCAGGCCACCTCCTCCCCGGAATGCAAGGCAGGGGCACCGGCACGGGTGGCCACGGGCGGGCCCCAGACTCAGGCGGGAGGCCAGGCCCTGTCCAGAGCCTGTGCGTGCTCCTTGGCCAGCAGCCGCAGGGACGCCTCCTCCAGGGTGAAGCCCTCCGTGAAGGCTGGGCCAAAGGCGTGGGGCCCGAAGGACGCCTGCAGCCCGGGGCCTGGGCCCAGGAGGCGCGGAAGGCCTGGCACGGCCGGGGGCCCGGGGCCCAGCCAGGGCTCCAGGGGCAGCGGCATGGCCGGAGGGCGGGCGAACGGCAGGGCTGGGGCCTCGGGGAGCCTCGGGGCTGCCACGGCCCCGGAGCCCGACTCCAGACGCTCCTGGCGGCGCCACTTGGCCCGGCGGTTCTGGAACCACACCTGGAGGTGGTGAGAGGGGTGCTCCCGGTTCAGGCTCTGTGGGGAGGAGCCAGCCCGCCGCTCCCTACCCCCCTGGGTCCTCCTTTGGGGCTCCCCGCTGTGCAGAACCGGCTAGCCTCCCTCTGACCTGCAGTTACCTGCCTCAAGGAGATGGCCCTCTCTGAGAAGGCCCCCCACGGCCCCCATCAAGCCGACCTGGGGTCTTCTCTGAAACTCGGCCCTGGGCGCTGAGTCCCAGCCACCGGCGCAGCATCTGGCGCCCGTGGAAAGCCATTTCTCGGCCGCGGTCGGCATCCCCTTCCACCCGCTTCGCACCCAGCCCCACGGAAACACCCCCGGTGTAACCTTCCGCGCCTTTGCATACACTGCTCTGTGCGCCTAGAAAGACACCGCGCTGCCTGCCTGCCTGCCTGCTCTCCCTCCTTTCGTTTTAAACGATTTTACGTTTAACCAATCTCTACACCCAAAGTGGGGCTTCAACTCACAGCCCTGAGATCAAGAGTTACAAGTTCTACCACCTGAGCCAGCCCCCTTCCTCCTTCGCGACTGGCCGACTTTCACTCCAACGCCAAGGTCTCAGTCCCACCTCTCCTCCTCCGGGAAGCCTTCCCAGTGTCTCGCTTGCCTGTGCCCCCGGAGGGCCCGAGTGTGGCCCCGGCTCCCTCCCTGGGCTGCCGGGTGCCCTCACCTGCACGCGCACCTCCGGCAGGTGCACCTTGGCCGCCAGCTCCTCGCGGCTGTAAACGTCCGGGTAGTGGGAGGCCTCGAACGCCCTCTCCAGCTGGTGCAGCTGGTACGTGGTGAAGGTCGTGCGGTTTCTCCGGTGCTTCTTCTTGGGGGCCTCCTCGCCCGGGCCCGGCCCCCCCCCCTCCGCCGCAGGCCCCTCACCCGGGCTCAGGAACATGGCTTGTCCTCACCCCCACCTGGCGGGATGGCAGCAGGGCAGGCGGTGGTGAGACCCCCAGCTGGGGAGGGCAGGGAGCCCCCCCCCCCCCGAGTCCTCTGGGTCTGGGGTTAGATGTGCCGAGGAAAGGCGCGCCGGGTCCCGCATTCGCCCGGCCCGGCCCGGCCCTCCGTCCACCTCGGATGGTCTCGCTCTCCATCCGCCGCCCCCTCCTCTTCTCTCGGGGCATTTTTCTGCACGGCTCCCTGGGTGCCTGTCCCTCCAGCTCTATTTTCTCTTTCCCTCTCGAGCTCTCCTGGATTCCCTCTGCCTGCATGTCTGCTTTTGGCTGTCTGTCCGTCTCTCTCTGTCTAGGAC